ACTTTAAATAGCGTGTTTGGCAGGCGATTGGATGAAGAGGGGGAAATGATAATTATGGCTGATGAGTGGGAGCCTGCATGCAGTGACAGTGTGACAAGTGAGAGCTCTTTAATTTGTTGGATCAGATAGTGACACGCTCCATCAGAGGATGGGGAAAACCTTTTCATTTGTGTGAAAGAGAGGCGGAAAGGGGGTCAATTAGCATCAAGTATTAGACAACCCATGACATGCTATATATTATTACCTGGTACAGTCAGATTAATGAGAGAGGAAGAGAGAATTTTCAGCTGTATTGGATTGAATTCAGAAGCAATCATGAGCAATCATAAGGAAAACAGCTGACATACCTGCACATTCACGATAGCAGATATACATACATGTGTATATTTGTGTGTGTGTGTGTGTGTGCGTGCGTGTGGCTGTATAACATATATATATATATATATATATATATATATATATATATATATATATATTAATTGCAATTTATAAATTGCAATTAACTCTGGTGAAAGTTACAGCAAAAATAAAATAAAAATGAAGAATACATAAATTACATACATGGATCTCATCTATTTATTTATTTATTATGGTATTAGGTGGCTTGAACTCCTAGATTTACAATTAAATAATGAATAATGCCAAAAGGGAAGTTGATATTTTTTATATCATCCAGTGAGACCAATACAAAGCCACGATTCTTTACCAGTGCCTTATTTGATGCAATGACAGGTGCAGTGAACCCCTCTACAGTATATTGATTTGGAGGACCTAGAGGTATGTGACATCATTATGAGGATTGACCTTCTCCTGCTCTGCCCTGAAGTCTTAGAGTAGATGAACATTACTGAGATCGAGACTCTGGCTTTGCTAGGCTGGTAGTTACTGGTGTCAAAGAAACATTTTTTAGGCATGTAATCTTAGATGACGTCCTGTCTCTCAAACTCAAACTGCCTGGTTTTACTTACATTTGAGGAAGTAATATATCGTTCTCAAAGCCTCCAGTTTGAGTGGAAATGTATTACCATCGCCTCTTCCGTTTCAAATATTAAAAATCTGTGGGAAAAAGGACAGAGGGAGGTCTAATGTTGCTTTTTTTGGAGATAATTACTAAAGCCATGCCCTTTTTGCATCCACAAGTTCCTAGTGAGTGTCAACAGCATATTGAGAAAGGTTGCTGCGAATTTAACTCCAGCTACCGAGAAGAGGGAAGAACAAGAGAATTGTCTCTCTTTCTTACTCTCTCACACACAAAAACACATTCTCTGAGTCTTCTCCTCACGCACACATTCTTGATTCCCCCTCTCTCTCTCTTTCTCTCTAAATATCCTGCACACTCCCACATGCATGGCACATTCGCAATGTTTCTTTTTACTCTTTATCTCTCCTTTACTTTATCTCAAGCTTTCTCTTTCCCTCTTACATTCCGGTGATGCATCCTTTGTCCCTGTGTTCTTAGAGCAAGCTGCAGTGACTGTGTTGGTGGCACAAAGGAGCGGTGGGTATTAAAACAGCTGTCTCTGGTGGTCCGGATGTAATTGGGATTGTTAACGTGCTCGGCTCCTGAGGGATGCTCATGAGAATGTCTTTGTGTAAAGCACACAAGCTCCACAGCAGCATACCTTGATTTTGATGTACGTCAAAAAAAGCAAACAAGTCACCTGAGCTACTGTACATCAAGTCTGGCTGTTATTTCCCCCCTCCTCCTGTTTTGGGTTGTTGCTACTGGTGCACTGTTATTTATATGTAAAAGAAAATGTCTATGAAGCTCAATTTTAGTCAGAATTCCTATGAGAGCACCCTTTCTTAGTGGGGAAAATAAAAGTGTATTTATGAGTATGCGGACACGGCTTTTGAAGGAGGAGAAAAATCTTCGCAAACCTAGCTGCTAAAAGCACCTGTCTGGTAATACAAATTGAAGCACAATTTCATCAAATAGACACAGAAAGAGACAAAAAACAGAGGAAGGGGGTTGAAGAGATTCCTAAAAAAAAAGTGATATGTATCTTTTTTTATGTTAAAAGGCTAAACGTCAATGATTACTTGTATGCAATGCAATTTCAAATCGATTTATTATTTGTAGATTGTGTACAGAGGGCGCACTGCACGTGCATGTGCAAACGAGCATATGTGGCTACTGGTACTGAAGTTATGTTTTATTAAAATTATGTTGCCGGTTGCATGAACTGTTTGGTCTTACAAGTTAGTCATCTCATTTTTTTTTATTATTCAAGACTCATTATTATTATATTTAAGTCAATTAGATAAAAAGGTATTGGTCTAATTTGAATCAGAAATGTAAGAATGATTAGCATTAACTAATTACTAAATGGGCATAGTTCTTAAGACACAATCTTAACTTACCGGCAATGTTTATAACTGGCCCTAGATTCCTTTCAACCTGATATATTAAAGCTGAGCACTTAAATCGCCCTGATAAATACGCTACAGTGAGCAAAAACTACTCCTCAAACTCGATCGCCTCAGAGCGGAGCCCAATTGATTTATTTGACGTTAGATATACTTTTGTGTGCTTCATTGTGAATGAAAATTTCATTTGCCGATTTAGGGGTGGTGAAATATAAATGATTTCGTTAAAGTTTCATCATAAATCAGTCTTTGGGTATATACAAGGAGACATTGATTGGGCCTTGAAGTCTCCTGAGCAGGCGCGTGTGGTGGCCCTCCCTTTGGAGAGGTATACCGTATACTGCTGGCTTCTGCACCATCGGCAATGCTGTCATTGCCATGGGACAAATTTCACGTCGACACACATACTGTATAAGAATCCGTGACAGTGTTTTTATTTTTATATATATATATATATATATACATCTGAAACTAAGACTTTTCTTCATTTAGCCCTTTTACATTGTCCTCTGATAGGCTATATTAATTCTAGTCTGATTTATTAAGAACGACTTAAGTTATTGTCATGAGTTATTTCTTGTTAGGCAACGTGTAAGGGTGCGTTTTCCCCAACAGAGACATGATGCAGCACATTCTTTAATTTAATTTCCAAATTACTATAAATGTGATGAAAAACAACCCTTTAAGACATTGATAAAGATTCATACTGGTATATTCAGTATATGGGCTACACTTACGTGAACAAGTCAAAGAATCTACAGAATAATGCATTTGCGTAATTATGTATTTTAAGGTTGCGCATGTGGCATATATATGTGACAGATATTAACTCATTATCGTTAAACTATGAATTATCATTAGCGTTTATAAAAATGTTGAAAATAAGATGATGAATGATAATTGCATGCATTAAAATATTTTTAGTTTAAGTTAAAATTTGGATCTCGCGTTAGCTGTGCACTTTTAAACGCGAGGATATAGTCGGTCGCTATGATGCATCAATTACCCCATCCAGTGGACTCGAATAGATTAAACAAATTAGACTTGCCTTGTTAATTAGAACATGATTAAAGGTTTTTAATTAAATCACTGATGAAGTAGTCTAATTAGAACGAAGATATGATAATAGCCCGCTGCGACGAGTATATAATTGTATTGGGTTTGCAATTAAATCCTAAAGAGTTGTAAAAAATCTGCTTTTTAGTGTCATTAATGAAATACTTCACATTCTGTTGAGACATCAAATTCATAATACACGCTCAATAGTAACTCAGATGGCTTTCATATTTATTATTTCAATAACCGTAAAAACTAATAAATTCGTCAACAGTATATTTTCTAAATAAAATCAAAGCAGGTTAATTAGTGAATGGTTCTCGAACAAATACACAAATGAAATTTAAATTCAATATTTCTAAATCCGACTGGACATAATTTGTTTAATGCGTGTCGGTATATCAAATTACCTCGCTATAATGGAATGATAGTCGTGCGTTTTACTTTGATTTATTTCACCCAACAGGGACAGCAGATGATGAGGCTGTCTGTGGTGATTTCTTCATATTCATCCACGTTTCTCTGAGACCAACGCGTATAGGGTACTTGCGTAATAAAAAAAAACACACATAATCTTTCGAATAATTTGTATCACAGTGAAAGTTAATCACACATGCAAGTCTGTGCAACATAAACGACAACGTGCAGATACATTTCTAAATATACTTTCTTGGTATTATTGTTGAACATGGACGTTGAAAAATAAAATGTTTGATTTCTAGAATACAGTTCTACGTTGAATTTATTAATTTTACCATTGTGGTTTCCACAATAACTTTATTGAAGAATCATACAATACCAGCTGCAGTCATTGCAACTGCCCATGCGCAGAGTCCCCAGCGGCGCTGTGGCTAATGAAGAATAATAAATCATGAAAGGTTTTTCAGGTACAGCCGAGAGAGTGTGTAAGAGGAGAGGGAGTGAGAGAATGGGCGAGCGAGAGAGAGAGAGAGAGAGAGAGAGAGAGAGAGAGAGAGAGAGAGAGAGAGAGAGAGAGAGAGAGAGAGAGAGAGAGAGAGAGAGAGAGAGAGAGAGAGAGAGAGAGAGAGAGAGAGAGAGAGAGAGAGAGAGAGAGACGCAGCCTGCCCTTCGCCTTGGAGCACAGGCAGATCGAGTCCCCGCAGCATTGAATGTAGTCGACTGTCACCTTTATCCCATAATCAAATTCAACAAGATTCGGGATAAAGGTTAACGAGCGATATTGTTTTGAGCAACGTCGTTTTGGAGATTTGAGCGAAGAGAAAAGAGGAGAAACTTTTTGCACTCGTTCTAAAAACGTGAGTAAAGACAAACTCACTAAAGGCATCAGATTCCGCTGTGACAAATGTACGATATTTTGTGAGGGCGGAGGAAAATTCTGTGGAGCGTTTTAATAGAGTTGACGTGATCTTTGAAGGAGTTTACCGACAGGTTGCATGGCTTACTGGTGCTCGCGACACATCTCAAGCCACGGCACGCAACGGAGCGACCAGGAGAGCGTTCTCTGAGAGCATTAGGCAGCACTAGATGAGCTATCTAGAGACTTGGTGCATCATCCTCTCCACGTTCGTTGCAGCGCCAGAGACTTGAGGCTTCCGCGCAGCGACTGGGCTTGAACTCCAGTCGAAGAAGAAGAAGGCGGAGTCTTAACTTATTAAAAGGAACTCACCAAGACTCGATCGCAAATATGATGATGATGTCTCTGAACAGCAAGCAGGCTTTCGCCATGACCCACACCAGTTTGGCCGAGGCCAAATACTCCAGTTTGCATTCCTCGTCCTCTTCCACTTTGACTTCCAACGCGCCCTCGTCCTGTTCGTCGTCCAGACACAGCAACACGATCAGCAGCGGCAGCTCCGAGGCGATGCGCCGAGCATGTCTCCCAACCCCACCGGTACGTATTCTGCATAATCACCGCTTAAAGGCACATTTTGACAGCCCACTTTTTCTGCTTGATGTTTTTTTCATGCCTGCACAGCAAATCACCCAACACCTCCATTTCCCCCCCAACTTATGTATTCAGCCGGGTTTGCCTTTCGTATGAATTTTTATGACCTGGGATGTTGCATGTGTCTTGTTTTGTGTGTTCTTTTTTAGGATTCCTTTTTTTTTAATGCTGGAAATGTTTTAAAAGCTCGGAGTGGAGCGCAAATTCCCTGCTGACAGTTATGTGTGCATTCTATTTGCAATTGCAGAGCAATATATTCGGCGGATTGGATGAGAGTTTGTTGGCCCGCGCGGAAGCTCTGGCGGCGGTGGATATAGTCTCGCAGACCAAAAGCCATCATCACCCTCCTCATCACAGCCCCTACAAGCCGGACGCAACCTACCACACCATGAACACGCTTCCGTGCACTTCCTCGTCTTCCTCGTCGTCCGTGCCCATCTCGCACCCGTCAGCTCTCGGGAGCCATCACCACCACCACCACCATCACCACCATCACCAGCCGCATCAGGGACTGGAGGGCGACCTGCTGGACCACATCACCCCGGGACTGGCACTTGCTGGAGCCATGGCCGGGCCAGACGGCTCGGTGGTCTCCACGCCTGCGCACCCTGCCCACATGGCAGGCATGAACCACATGCACCAAGCTGCCATCAACATGGCTCACGCCCATGGGCTGCAATCCCACATGGGCTGCATGAGCGACGTGGATGCAGATCCCAGAGACTTGGAGGCATTCGCTGAGCGCTTTAAACAGCGTCGGATCAAACTCGGCGTGACCCAAGCGGATGTAGGGTCAGCGCTGGCCAACCTGAAGATTCCTGGCGTAGGCTCTTTAAGCCAGAGTACCATCTGCCGGTTTGAATCTCTCACGTTGTCCCACAACAACATGATCGCCCTGAAGCCCATCCTGCAAGCCTGGCTGGAGGAGGCTGAAAAGTCTCACCGGGAGAAGCTGAACAAACCTGAGCTCTTCAACGGGGCCGAGAAGAAGAGGAAGCGGACCTCCATCGCGGCCCCCGAGAAAAGGTCCCTCGAAGCTTATTTTGCTATTCAGCCTCGTCCATCCTCAGAGAAAATCGCAGCCATCGCAGAGAAGCTGGACCTCAAAAAGAACGTTGTGCGAGTTTGGTTTTGCAACCAGAGGCAGAAACAAAAACGCATGAAATACTCGGCCTGCGTCTAGCTCGAGCAGAAGACCAGCACGACGTGTCGAGAGACTCCTAAAACTGTTTAGAGACGATTTGTAAAATATTTCTTATCTCACACCTTTTTCAATCATCAATAACTTGTGCATTGAACCAGAATTTCATGACATTCAAAAGAGACATTTGAAAATACCAAATCACTGTCACGTATTACGCAAAGGGGATGTGGAATCATTTAAAGGATCGTTTGACTGATCAAGTAAGACCATTCGTTTTTCCTCACTTATTCCAGCACACTTTCTATAGCAGAGGAGCGTGACTCTTTAAGCCTCAACCAGACAGACTGCCTGAAGCGAAATAACATATTTTAGTCATTTACCAGAAAGTGTTCTGTATCAAGCTATACACACAACACCAGTAGCCTAATTATAAACTGATCAACCCTAAGGGGAGGGAAACTTCAGGTCAAAAGGGTGACAGTGTCTTGTCAATGTTTTTTATTTGAAATATTTATTTCTCAGTATGTCACGCTTCAATCTGGTGTTACTTCAGGGTTCATTAGAAAAAAAGGACATTACGAATTAACTCCACGAACGATTCTGCAACATTATTAGATAATAACCAACAGCTCCTTGTAAAATATTGATTTAGCTGTCACATGCATAATTTTGTCTGTCGTCTTCTTAATTCCACTTCTGTGATTTTAATAATGATAAACATAGCCTACAATTAGGCAATTGGCGACGAGAATATCCATATATTTTTATTGTGAAAGCATATGGATTTAGGACGTTCATTTGCTTTAACTGACCTCTTAGTTATTAAAATAGAAGATACTGGATATACTGAACACGAGGTGAGGCTCAATTGTTGTTAGTAATGGGATTTGTTCCGCCAAATATCTGTTGCAATACGCCTGCGCTCTGGCTATGTTTCTTATGAACTATTTATCATGTGAGGTAATGTTTACTTCATTACATATTTATTGGGATTCCCTCCACGTTTTTGCTTGAGAAAATCATATTGAGACTACAAGGAAAACGTGGCCCTCTGCAAATGGGGAAACTGCTTGAAACAGGCCACTTTTAATTTGTTTCTTTCGTTGTTTCGAGAAGGCACAATCGAGATATATATGAGAACATTTTCTTTGAAATTATTTTCATGTATGTTATCTGCTTATTTATTTGTATAGCTAAATATACGCGTACTGTTATGGAGTCGTTGCTTGTTAAATTCACCATGTTTAATAATGTTTTCTTAATGAAAAAGATGAGTTTCCTGGAAGCATTCACGTAAAATGTAAATATCTCATTTGGACATACACATAACATATCCGTACAGGTATTTGCTGTATTGCTGTTTTAGCTGCGGTAACTGTAATGTCTGTTGCTTTAGGTTTAATTGTCGGATCAATTCATTAATTTATTACATCAATGTATATTTAAGTTAGTATTTGATAATTGAATTGAACTATGTGTTTCATTAAAGAACAAAATTTTAACATTTTATGGAACGCTCTCAATGGGTTCATTTATATTCAAAGGCCTAAACGGTTTCAAACGTCCAACGTTTCCGTATACACATGTGGACTATATGTTATAAATAATATGTAAATGTTTGCCTCTATCTTATGTCGATCAATATGTGGATTACACGTGTCTTTAACACCAATTTGCATTTTTTTTCTTATTTCTGTTGCAAGACAGATTAGTTTAGTATCTTGCTGTTTGCTTAAAAAAAGACGTCTTGACATCTTGAGCTGTAGAGCTACGCTTGGTGTATTCACGAACGACTTGCTGCTGCTAGCATTCACAACCCTTGGAAGCCTACCTGAGAGCAAATGCTAATATTCTATTAGAGTCTAATCATGAAGTCTATAGAGATCTGGGGAGGTCCCTCGAGCACAGCGCTGCCAGATGTCAGGCCGCCAGAAAAACACCTCGCCTGCCAACGTGCCGGGCTCCATTTAAATCCACAGTCGATGGTTCTCGTTCTTCTGCCGACATAGGCAGCCCTTTGAAGACTGACTCAGTTCACTGTTAGGCCGTATGAAAAAGGGAAAAAAATAAATAAATAAAAAAGAGACGGGAGTGTCATCTCAGTAGCGCCGCTCATGTCATGGCATTCTAGGCGTACCAATTGCTTTCAGCACCACGGACAGCCGCCTGAATAGAGGAGGTTTCGCCATTGATGTTTCCTGACGATCTTCAAAGGGATTTAACAGATGACGAAGGCAATTTGCATTTCGTTTTGTTCTTTTGAAAAACACGAACGTAATATATTTTATCAGAATTGTATTTTTTCGTAGATTTAATTTTTGACATCACATTTTTGAACGCATTTGAAACATGAACAAGTACGTTTGACATAATATGACTTTTTTAAGCTATACTGGGAAAAATACTCTGAAAATATCTAGTCGAAAGAAAATTCGTATTTTTTTTTTTTCCCAAACCTCGATAATGTTACGTTGACTATTATAGAGTTATTTTCCAAAATATTTCATTAAATCCGCAATTATATTTTTATTAAGTGTAAAGCCTTATAACAATCATAACAGCATTCGATTTATTACTTGGTGCATGCATGGATATTTTTTTTAGAAGCTCTCTGACTAAATAGACCCAACAGTTATCATCAATTCTAACCTGCTTCAAAGGGAAAAAAATCAGTTATGCTAAACGAGCTGATCACTTAACACGATGATATGAACGAATTATTAAATTACACATGGAATTATGAAAATCAGATAATTACTACTAAGTAAGTAATCATTAACTGGAGCTGTTAATTACAGTCGGTCATGGAGGGCTGTATGGAGAGGCTCGTCGGGAATGGAAATGAATCTAAGCAATCAGATTCACTTATGGACGATCCCGAGCCAGCTACTCTTTAACTTTTAGATAGGTGCGAAAAATATCGATCGGATTTTATTCCTTTTTAAACCAAATGAGTCTGGGAGAAACAGAGAGGTAGACTAAAATATAGGATCATTCAATACGGGTGCGCTTAAATTTATATTTCCAAGAAAATTGAATGTGTCATTTTATTCTACCTTCCTTTAATAGACTGATCCAAGAGGGGGCACTGACCTGTTAGCGGTATCGCATACATGTGATTCTCATGCTTTAAAAACCATGGTGGTCACACTCAAAAACGAAAGGGCAGCGCTGTTTTCCTTTGTTATAATTAGGTCTTCTGTTTTCTATCTCTTTCCCCTGAACATTTCCCCCCTTTCATAGGGATAGTGATGAAATTTTAATGAAGCCAGGGACTGTCGGTGCTCCGCCTGGGGACCTGCGAATAGAATATTTTAACTGTACATTTACCCCAAGTGTTTGCCATCAAAGCACGTTAAGACAAACCACAGGCCTCTGACGTGTTGGAGCCCCTTATTTAGCACTTGCACATTTATTCTATTGTCACTGATGTCCATTGCATTTTGATTTTTTTTTTCAAGGGCAGTAGGATATTATTGGTATAATTCTAAGAATTTCGTTCATTTAACTGCAGGGGCAAATATAAGGAATTCCATTTTAAATTAAATAGGTTGGCTAAATGCCCCCACATTTTTCACAGAGGTGTAATAATCGTAAAGCACCTTCAACAAAACAAATCACAAGTATAGGCTTTATGAACGAATAAGTTCACCATGTCTTGAACTCTTCTCTTACACACACTCGTGCCAAAGGCGACATACAGTTATGCGCATAATTGATTACATGGGAAAAACAATAATTGTCATGATGATAATACGTGGAATACTAAATCTAGAATTGTAAAACCATAGTTCAGACCTTCGAAATGATTAACAAATCATATGTGTACAAAAATAAAAAATAACAACAATACAAAAATGATAAATAACAGTTAAAGGGTCATTTATAAAAAGGTACGTCTTGTCTCACAATATTTAGCCTAACTGTTTTCATAATTATTATCAATTTTGCTCTGCAAAAACAACAACAACGAAACGTTGTCAATTATTTCCAGACATGCAGAATTTAAGTTTTTACCTGTCTTTACGTTCACCTTTGTTCATTATAAAGCGTATTATATTTTAACACATGCAAAACAATTTAAAGAGATGTCCAAATAAATATTTAAGCACACAAGCTATTGAAAAAAAAGTATCTATATATATAAAAAAAAAACGAAATGTGATAAACATGTGATAAACGCCAACCGACAAATCATTCGCCTCAGGGTTTATTTGATATTGAACTAATAGTAGTTATACCATATAAATCTTATTCGATGTATCAAACAACTCAATAACCATCAGCTGGCAGATTTTAAATATATGTGAATATATATATTATAGTATATAGTATGTACTATGTAGCCTACTATAAACGGGCAGATCTGCCAATCTGCCAGCTATTGCCTTTATACAATTTTCCAAGATGACTAACGAAGAAATGCACACAACAATTGAACATCATTCTTACTTCACACAGCAAACTCAGTTTAGTATTCTTACGCTGTAAGTACAGACTGTGGCATATACTGTTGAAATTTGTGTCTTCAAAAGAGGCCTATGGTGATTAAATATTAAAGAGCCTTGGATGAGCCTGTATGTTTCTCGCCCAGTTCTGGGTTGCACGTCATGAAATTCATTTCGGCTTTAACGCACAGCACGTTGCGTTCTCTTATTCTCAGACGCTGTTGCGCCGTTCCAAATGAGCAAGTCGCAGTTAGATCGCGCATTTGGCAATAATGAGAAGGTGGTAGAGCTGTCTGCTGGATGTGTGTGTTCATTGAGGTTTGACAGCCGTGCTCCGCTGCAGATCTATTCATCATACCCGCAAGGACTGCCCCTCTCTCTCTCTCTCTCTCTCTCTCTCTCTCTCTCTCTCTCTCTCTCTCTCTCTCTCTCTCTCTCTCTCTCTCTCTCTCTCTCTCTCTCTCTCTCTCTCTCTCTCTTCAGTTTATACAGAACAGAATCATTTACATAAAGTCCTTAAGGCAAATAACTGTTGGGGGCTCTAATTTATATCTGATCGAAAATTAGCCGTCATTATGCGCCCCATTAGCCGCGTCTTTAATGTGCTTCTAAGCACCATTTGTCAAGCAGCTTGTTAATATCCTTCAAGTCTTTAAAGTTGAGAGCTCATTAAAAGACTCTGCGCCCTGGTATTGATGCTATTTTATAAAATTCTGCAAAGCGTGAAGGACCGTTTAAAAGTTTTCTCTTCCTCCTAACTGAATGATGTATGGTTTCCTGAGCAGCAGGATGGATGCACCATTGTTTCCAATTCGAAAGTTATGTTAGTGTAGGTCTTACGCGCTGTAGCCCACTCAACGAGATAGTGGCGGGAAATAACATCTAGCCTAATGTTAAGCAAAATAATGAGGAGATCACAAAATCCTGTAGGGTAATTGGGTTCTGGCAGGTGAATTAAGTTGTAACATGCTATTAAAACCGACATGCTGGTTTGAAAAAAAATATTTTGAATCTAAATCACGAATTGCATTCGGAAATAATTAAGAAAATCACCCTTTAAAAACACGATACATTCTAAAAGTCGTGCACATTCAAGAGTATATAACTATTTTTTATAA